TTCTAACCCCTGGAACACAACCTGACATTTAAAGTGACTTTGGGAAAGAGCTGATTTTTATCCATTTTGCATATGACAGCTATTCTCAGTCTATTTATCAGCAAGTAATATAATCTCATCTGCTCTATTTCCATGTTTTTGGATGGGGAGTGAGGGAAGTTCCCTGTTATGACCTCTCCAGGTACAAGATATGGTAAGATTGAGGGCTTTTGGCTCTGGAAATAGCAGCTGCAAATACAATTTATGAAGAAAATGTCCTACAAATGAAGAAACTCAGCTGCAAAGCAAAACCTAGTTTTTACCTCATGATCTACCATCTTCTCAATGAAGTAATAACTGCCAATTGTATCAACTTTGAAAAAGGAAGACACTGGATATGGTGGTTCCAAACCTAGAAGAGATGAGTTTTTTCAAAAAAACTTTATGTTAAAGGATCTCCATAGCAATATACACAAATCTTTGTCCATAGACTGTCATATAATAATTACAACAATAGCAAGCATACTGAGTGTTTACTATGTGCCAGATATGCTATTTATCACTTTACAGGAATTGATCATTTATTCAGTCTGCAGAGAAAGCATTGTGTGTATAACTCTTAAAAATGAATTTATGTTTTATTAATTAAAAGAGCATCTGCCTGAATATTTGTCATCTTCTTCAGTGACATATCCAAACCTTTAGTTCAGTGCCTAACACGCAGTAAGCAGGGCATTAATATCTGTTGAATGAATGAATGAATGATAATATTTTACCTTGAAATATACATTCTGCTTTTGTTTACCATATTTTGGCTTTCTTCCCATTTTTCCTATACTGGTTTCCCCTCCATGTTCTAATAGATTGTGGTGCTGCACTTGCTGTTCCCCAGGATTTCCTAAAGGCTGCTTTAGATTTGTGGCAGTGGGAATGGGGACTGACGGAGCGGATGAGGTCAAGTGTGGTGTGTTCAAGTAGAGAGGGATTTTGATGACAATGGCTAAAAGCCCCACTTATGATCTTCTGCTCTGTTTTGCTTCTTATAGGTTTTCACTACTGAAATGATGAGCAATAAGTCCAAGCAGCAGACTTTCAAAAATTACAGTGGTGAGTAAGAAATTCATAGGCCTAGAAGCAGCGTCTCCCACCATGGGTTCATCCTATTTTTTTTTTTTTTTAAGATTTTTTTATTGGGGAATTGGGAAGGGGAATAGTGTTGGGGAATTGGGGGAGGGGAACAGTGTTGGGGAATTGGGGGAGGGGAACATTATGTTTTTCCCGGACCCATCAGCGCCAAGTCAAGTTGTNTTTTGTCACCATTTCTGGTACTCTCTTGGCTAGAGGGTATTCTTATCCCAAATTGGTCCTCCAATCATCCCTACCCCTCAGTTTTCCAAGGTCCTTCCACAAACAACCTTCCTGTATTAATATTTAGTTTGGATGTTGAAACATTGATGAGAAGTTTAAATCTGCTAAAATACTAGCACTTCTCTAGGCAAATTACATGGCAGACCTTAATGACATTGAATAAATGCTGCTTACTTACGTTAACCTATACCTCCTTTATTAAACTACCAAGAGCTCTTTATGTTGACTTGGAAGTGGCAGATGAGTGGGGATAAACTGGTGGATGGCTCTCTGACCTGGAGAGATGAGCAAGGCTACATAAACTGGGTGAAGTCATGGTGCCTGAAAAGCACAAAAAGGACCACTCAGTTCAGTGTCTCAGCCCTTTCATTTTTCATCATCTAACCTTCTAGCTGCAATGGGTTCCCTATGGAGTGGGATCTTTCCTGCTCTCTGAGGAGGCATGGACATGGCCTTGAGGGAGAGTAAAGATTTGCATTGTAAAATATGGGCAGGATCAGGGGGTAAGTGAAATCTTATTTTTGACTCAAAGGCTCATCTTAAATTTGTGTTTTTCCTACAGAGATTGAAAAATGCAGTGAAGGTGTGTTTGGAAAAATGCCTTGAGCTAAATTTAACTTCCATTTCCTTTCCTGCCCTTGGGACTGGAGTCATCGGTTTGTGGAAGAATAAAGCAGCAGAGGTTATGTTTCAGGAGGTTTTAACATTTGCGACACAGCATTTGAAAAAACAATTAACTGTAAAGTTTGTGATCCTTCCTGAGGAACAGGAGTTATATAAGGTAAGTTACTATCTTAGAAATGTCCTACAATTCATTCATTCATTCATGGATTCATTCAACGACATCTGTTTAGTATCTCCCATGTAAGAAGATGTTGGGCTAAGTGCTGTATGGCGTAGTGATGTTCTAATGTGGTGAAATTTAACTTTTATAAATTGCCCACGTCTGGCCTAGTAAAGAATGCCATTATAGAAGCCATGTTAACCTACTATTTAGCTTCTCTTTTTTCCTTTGTTGGCACTTATTCTTCTCTCTAGTCCTTAAAGGTCAGCAGCCTCCTAGTTTCAGTGTGAGGTCCTCTGCTCCTCTCTCTTCTTTCTTCCTTTAAGAACACAACTATTCTTAAACTTCTGCCATACATTTTGTAGCATCCTATCTAATGAGCCAACTTCAGACACACACCCCCAAACCCTATCTCATTTCCACTTGGATATCTGACTATGGTCCTAAATCCAACATATTTAAAACAAATTCTTTGTCTTCTTCTCTTTAATCAGTCGACTTTGTTGAGCAAGTTACTTGTCTGTGCCTTAGTTTCCTCAGCTTTAAAATGGGGATAGTAAGTACCATTTTATGGAACTGTTGTGAGAATTAAGTGAGTTAATACATGTGAAACACTTAGAACAGTACCCGGCACACAGTAAGTGCTCCGTGAAGGTTAGCTGTTATATTAGCTGTAATGAGCTGTAATTCCCTGGGTGCTGAATTGAATACCAAATTAAGTGAATTGTTTGCTTGTTTGTTTTTTCCCAATTAGATTATAAGTTCTTTAATAGCAATGGTATATCTGGCTATTTTTGCCGTGTCCCCAGTACAAACCTCAATTCAGTCTATTCTTTCTGAACTCATCTGTAGGGGACCTCGGAGGGAAATCAGCTGTGGTCCAACACAAATGAAGGGACATGTCTGCAGTGGAGTGTGTTTATATATCTGAGTGCAGAGCTCTTGTGTCCAACTACTTTAGTTTTCACTTCATGTCAGCTTTTTGTTTTAGAGTGGTCAGAACAAGTTGAGTTTCTCACATGAGAATGGGTCCCTGATATATTCAACATAATTAGTATATATTGCTGTGCTGTTCTCCCTTTAAAGCACCATCTCTTTGCTTTATTCTCACTTAGCTGGCATTTTCAAAAAAAGAACTTTAATGATGTTAAGGAAGAATGAAAAAGAAATGAGATAAGACAGAGCACCTTAAAATAGGTTTTGAAGATACAGGTTTCTGATTCTGCCAACAGCAACATCGAAGTACTAGTGCAACTTAGGCATGTGTCTGGATTTTGGGTGTAAAGGGCTTTGCTGAGTGCCTGGCAGAGAGAGTGGCCCTGAACATTAGTCTTCTGATTGCTCACTTTCCCACCTCCCAGCCTGTCTCCATGTGGGTGGTTGCCAAAGAAAACAAGCATATTGGTTCTAGCTTGCTCTTTCCTGGAACAAATGTAAAGGTTTCATTCTTTTTGTTGCTTGACTAGACAAAAGGAGGTTTATAGTGTTTGCTGATTTCCATTACTAACTTCAAAGTATCAATGTGACGCCTTTGAAGAAGGAGTTGGGAAGACATGTTCACAACGGGCTCTCAGCTTCAGTACACCACTGTGTCTCATCCACTGCTGACCTGAAAGCTGGTGGCAAATTACCCAGCGAAGAGCTCACCTTCCTGACAAAATGAATCATTCTGTCTTTGGAATGATGTTCACCAGTTTCCCCTAAGCAGAGGACTGTTGTTGGGTTCAAATAGGTGCCCTGAGTAGATCTTTGAACTGTTCACGAAGCGACATGATCCCCTACAAGAGGAATTAATCACCTCTAGAAAAGAAGGTTCATTCTTTCCAACCTACAAACAAAAATGTACATGACAGTTCAACAGAAATAGAAAGATCAACCACAGTCTGAGGGCTCCCCTAGGGGCTAATTATAAGAATAGGTGCCATGTATTGCTTCAGCCAGGTACTGTGCTAAAAGCTGTCTCATTTCATCCTCCCCGCAAACCTGTGATGAAGCCACTGTTGTCACCTCCATTTTACAAATGGGAAAATATGTTAACCCAGAGGTTCATATACACACAGCTAGTCAAATGCCCAAACCAAGATTCCAACCTGGGTCTGCCTGTCCCCAAAGCCTGTGTTCTGAACCACTAAAGAAAAGCACAGCAAAAATAACTTGAGAGATGATACATCTTTCAGTTCTGTAACTCAAAGGAGAGGGTTATCTTACACAGTAACTTACATTGTACACTGAATATTGACCATTCATTCCTTCAGGCTTTTTCCAATATTAACACTATATTATAAACTTGTGGACGCATGATGTGTGTGCTTTCATGTATACCCTGTGGCCTTCTGATAAACACATCTTTGATTCCTAAATAAGTCTTCCAGGAAAGGGTGTCTGTTCAGAAAGATCAGAGGGCAACTTATACATTTATTCACAGAGGGTGTTGCCTTGGCAAGGTCCCTACATTTGTCAGGCATCCAGAGTTGACCTGACTCAGGAAGACCAACCTATACTGAACTCACAATAAAGTGATACTTGTAGTCACATGCTCATGAATTTCCCAATTCATGAAGGACAGTGAGTAAATAACTCCCCAGCTGACTGAAATACTTGTGTTCACCAGTATTTCATGGTAAGAAGGGTCTGGGTTAGAGCTGAGTATCTGTAAATGGTGATGGATAGTCATTCATTTGGTTATTTAACAAATATTTATGGCACATCTACCTTGTGCCAGACATTATGTCTCAGAATAAGGAACAACCTCTCTAAGAACACATTACTAACATCCTTCATGTTAGGCGTTGGTCTTTTGTGGACCGAGCTGGAAAAACTGCCAAATTCTTGCCATATGGATTCACTTTTCCAAACTCTTTACAGACCATCTGCTTGTTATCCATGCATTCTTCTAAGTTATTGATACTGATTAAATTACAGTTTTCTTTCACATTTAATTCCAAAGCCTTGCCTAATTGATTTCTAACCCCTGGAACACAACCTGACATTTAAAGTGACTTTGGGAAAGAGCTGATTTTTATCCATTTTGCATATGACAGCTATTCTCAGTCTATT